CGTATCACTGCCATAAATCAATTTCGACAGTTTTGCCTTCAGCTAGCGACAAAATTACTGTGTTTGACCGAATTTATACCAGACCATAATTCAAAAAAATCGTCGAAATTAGAGGTTAATGTATGCATTTCGAAAATATTATAATTAACTAATTCCTAATTTGGAATAGGGAAAAAAACAATAGAAGCTTTTTCCACCAAAACTTATACCAAAAATATATAAAGTGTCACACCAACACAGCATAATTAATTATTCAACGTGTATCTAGTGATCTTATATTTAATTATAACGTAATAGAGGTTTGTAGTTGATTTTTATTAATAATAGCCTCATACACCTGTTTATGTCTAAATGTACGTAATATGACCTAAAAAAAATATTTACGGTTCACACACGTATGAAATTCCCCAAATATTGTTCTTAATAACAGTTATTCTAATCTCAAAATCTTGTATCACAGTTCTGCGCTTTTTCATTACAACACAATGGATAATTTGTGTTTGGCCGTGATAAAAAGTTTTCGCATAAAAGTGTTCCTATCATGATTGTGTTATGCATTCATATCGGCTTCATCAGACTAACAATTAATCCCAATAAGACAAAGAGGCTGTTGTTGTATGAAATCTTATAAGGGCCGGTTCACAAAATTCTGTAGCTTCTTGAATTTTACCAATGTAGAAATAATTTCGTTCCACGCTAATAACTTGGAAACCAATTATTAGCCCAATCGTGCTTCCACGACGACTTACAGCCAATGCTTATCTTCATTTTCTTAGAATTACACTTCTTACTAGTTAAAGAGGATTAGTGGCCCACTCGATCACCCGATTTAAATCCAGGCGATTTTTTCCTCTAGGGTGAGGACGAGGTTTACAGGATCGAGGTTGAAAATTTGGAGGATCTATGTAATCTCATTGACGTTATTGCGGAAAAAGCTCGCAACATCCCTAACATTTTTGAAAATGTTCGAAATTCTTTTATTCATCGAGCCGAAGTCTGTATTCAAGCAAATGGTGGCCAATTCGAACAATTCCTTCAAATTAATTCCTTTAAATTAATTTTATTATTGAGTAAAAAGTTAAATAAAAAAAATATGTGGTTTAAATATTTTTCTTGGGGAAAATAAGGGAAGTAACAAATTAACAAAAAATTATTCTGTTCGCTGGATCTGTAGGCTCAAAAACCGATATTTTTCCACATGATTATTATTATGCGCAAATCTTGGTAGTACTAGTGTCCTAGTTCCACAAGAATTACAAGACTTAAAATTCTTTAAAATTACTTCAAAAACAAGACACATGGACTTCTCGAGATTCTTTCAAATTACTCCAAAAACAAAACACAAGTAGTCCTCGAGACTCTTTCAAGTTACTTCAAAGATGGGCCAAATTTTACATACTTACCTTTAAATGGAGTAAAATTTCGGCTTTATATGTAACGGGTGATCCAAAAGTTTTTATATTAGAGTTGGCCATGGAAAAATTTGTCATGTCTTTGATTAAACTGCAAATGTCATGCATAACTTCATTTGTATTTAAATAATTTGGATTTTTAATATTTGCATTTTAATCAAAAGTAATGACAAATATTTCCATGGCCAACTCTAATCTAAAAACTTTTTGATCATTCGTTATAATAGATTGCAAAGAGTAGTTTTTAACTTGTCATACAGCATAGATGTGATGATGCATAAATTAGATTTTTCATCGCCATGGATTTACAAAAGTTGGATAATAAAACTTGTTGAATAATGAAGGTGAGTGTTAAGGCCAGTCGTTACGGTTTCTGCATGGAATTTTCTGTGCATTTTCAGAATGTAATATCACCATTATTAACGGTCTTATGGTTGTGAAATTTTAAATACATATAAGCTGTCCATAACTTTCTTTCTAACGCAATGGCAGTTTTCTTAAAAACGACTTGGTATCATGCTTTTTTTCATCTTAGCAGTGACTTTAGTGAAATTTTGCAAAACGTATCTTAAAAAATCAAAATTTCAATTATTTAAGAAAATTTCGGAACGCGGTTTTCAGCTTGCACAACTCGTACTCGTACCAGATATATCGTCGACCTTTTCTTTCTTTGTACATCTCTTAGTTCCAACAAATAAAATCGAAAATATATTTGGTACGATTTCTAAAGTTTTGCAAGCTTCGTAAGCTGAAAACAGTGGTGAAAACTGCGTCTCAAATTTTCCATAAATAACTGAAATATTGATTTTTTAAAATACGTGAAAATTTCAACAAAATTTAAAAACTATATGATAATAAACTGTTTACAAAAAACTGCCCCCGCATTATGTAGTGAAGGTTGTGGACAGGTTATATTCAAAATTTCATAACAGTAAGTGTATTAATAATTATTAAGATATTATATTCTAAAAATATATTCAGACCACACGCTAAACGTAGCGACTTTTCTTTAATCCACATGACAAGGAATATTTTTTAGCAAAACGTGATTTAAACTTTTTTTTCAAAATTAACGACAGAATTACATCCTAAATTTGATTCACATTTTCCGAAACACCGTGTAAATATCTGATAAAAATTGTTTACTTCTTTTTTATCAAAGCCGAAAATTCCGTTGTTTTACTCCTGGGAACTTACTTATCAAGATTCGTTTGTAAAAATACGACACTTTTTAATGATGAGTGTTTCTAAAATTGCTCTTACGGGCATTCAAAAATATCAAGATTTAACAATAAGTAATACAAAATATTTTATATTTTATTGATAAATTGTCATTATAGAGAAAATATATATATAACTCTAAATGACTTTAGGTCCCTCGAATGATCGTTTACCTCGGCTGAGCCTCCTCAAAAAACTTAACTCCTACGCCAAAGCACCAAATCACGTGGTAATTACCCAGCACTGTAAAGATTGTCCAGAATTATAGGAATTTTATGGACTCCCAAAGTTAATTTGTTTTATAGCCCTGTTGTCAGTTTTATTGTTTAGCTGAAGAGCGGGGCGAACTCAGGTACAGAAAAGATCGGCTTTCCCCTGACAGGCTCTTTACCTGTACAATAGAATTGACGCCTGAGCTGTGAAACAAATTAACGTTGGGAGTCCATAATATTCTTATAATTCTGGACAAACTTTAACACTGTAATTAGCAATTAATCAAACAAAATGTGTTTACAGTGCTTGAAAACTTTTTGCCGTTGCCATAGGCAAAGTTAAAAAAACCGAAACAAAAACTGTTTTTTTTTAAGAAACCATGACATTGAATTATTTGTATGCTGGCTAAGAAACCGCAGTTTTGTCCTGAGTGTCTAAAAAATACTTTGGAATAAAATATATTATTACGCAATTATTAGGAAATAATTATTACTACTTTTTTCTAACCAAAGAATACAATTTTGCTTCACATTTTATTTCTTTTTGTAACTTTGTGGTTACGAATTGTGCCAGATTGTTACAAAAAGTCCTCTAAAGTTATTCAGACAGAAATTTCATTATTCCTTAAACACAATCAAACAAATCTAGTTTTTAGAAAAATTATAAAATTTGAATTTACATTTTATTTATTTTAACCACTTTAAGCAAAACATGTAGATAATACCAAACACAAATTCGAACCCGCACGGGTGACAGAACGAAGCATATAGGAAAATATTACATAAAAAATTGTAAAGTAATTGTGATAAAATTCAAGGCAAATTCATAAACCACGGCTAGAGGAATGTATTATTTTATAAAATTTAGACAACATTTACTGCACAAAATGATGACGTGACGCCAAGAAAACATAAAAGTAACCATTCGCTAATGGAAAATGTTACAATACTTCCTTAGCTTTCGCTCAGGAAGTAAAAATTAATAATTACTGACAATACCAACACACAATCACACAAGACCATTTTGTAATCGGTTCTTGTGGGGTTGAGAAAGATGTCTTAATTTTACAATAGTTAGGAATTCGCACATTTAGACGGAACACCTCTTCTGTTCATTTCGCAATTCTCAGGCAACTATGCGGAACATATCCAACAAAGTTTACACAAAGCAGCACATTCCATTTAAACCTTTCTTTTTTTGTATTAAACTCTAGTCTGATAAGCGTCTTAGTGTAAGTTTTAGAGTTTCATCGTTTTTCTAACACTGAATCATTTAATAGTCGGGATAATCATCTCAACTTAAATTAAGTGTTAATATATATGACATGTTTTAATTTTTACATTCCGAGTCTAACCTAAGTAAGTATTATGATAAAGTACATGTTTTTAATGGAACCGTCAAACGATCTGCAACAAATGCTGCACTGTGCAACACAGTTTATTTGATAAATATGTAACTATGACCAACTAAGTTTTTTTTCTGTAAAAGTTGAACTGGAAGCTATAAAACCCGGTAAAATACTCATTGATGACAAGAATAATGACGTCATGCTGTCGTCATTGTCATGCTTTTTATTGTTGTGTGTACCTAGTATATTGTATATTCACAGGTCAAGTACGAAATCAATATTTGACTGTTTTGTTGGACGTCATGAATTGTACATTTGATGTGCGAGTAAACCGTCAAATTAAGATACACCTAATTTGTATGTGAATTACGTTAAATGAACTAACCTCAACATTTTAATATTCAAGAGTTCCATAATTGAGATTGGGCGATACGTCCCACTGCATCTTTACGACAAACACTATTTGCACCTCAAAGTGAGGTAGTTAGCTTAATTTTGTTATAAAACTGTACTAAATAATTCAGTAGCCTGCGCTGCTAAGTACTACGAAAAGATTTAACAAAAAGTTGGCGGCAAAACTGTGGGACTTGATGCAAAAACCACAAAGAAGCCAAAATTTTAATATCTAAATTTCACGACATACCTAGAAAATTTATCCATACATCGAATAACTGATGTGTTTTTCATCAGGCAACATTAAAATGTGCAAACTGTAATCAATCGTTGCCAACTGATCAATTATAATTAATTCCTACTTTACACTTGGAGCCGCTCAATTTGTCCCTGCAACATTCTTTATCACTTACCTCTAATAGCGTCCAGATAAGAGCCTGAAACAAAAAACTAAAGTGAATAAATTAGAAACAAGATGCAAAATTAAAGTGCAGCGCGGTTTTTTACACTTCTTTGGAGCAGAACGGCGATTTAATTAATTGAGGAGTTGCAGACAAAAGGGAAACTTGTTTAAAATAATCAACTTTCCTTTTAAAAGGAAAACTGTGTTGTCGGCGTGTCGTGTTCCATTTTAGCTCATATTGTTTCCAGCAATTTAACATTCAATCGGTTTTTATCGTTGCAGTAATTTAATTATGAATTAATTCGGTCTGTACGAGCATTCGTGACCGCTTAAGAATGCGAAAGTGGGTGCAGTGGGTGTTTAGTCTTTCCCAAGAAGAAGAATCATATAGATTTGTTATGCGAACTATTGTTCGGTGGATTACGGCAATGTAAAAAGGATCAAGGTCAGAGCACTGTAAACGTTTCGGCTCTTTTTAAGCCGTCTTCATATTTATTAGTTGATTTTTTCCAAAATTATAAAAAATCCTAGTTGTCATAAAAACTTATTCCTTTCACTTTTTAGTTCCTGGTGTAAGCTACGAAAATATAATACCTATGATGAATGTCTAATTTCATGTCTGTTGACGATTTTTACAGTTAAAATAAGTGATGATCAGAATATATTTTTTCTCTAGGACAATAATTAAAAACATTACGTTCCTGTTTTGCCTGATAACCAATACTTTATTACTGAGAAATCAATATAATGTTATAATTGCTTCATTACCGCATGACTGCAGTTAATGAGAATTTTTTACAAGCTGTATACTATTAAATCAGCTTGAGTATTTGTAAAAAAGAAGCTACATCTAGTGGTAAGACCACAAAGTTACTATGAAGTTTTGTTTGGGCGAGAAAATTTTGTGCGCAAACGTTGGCAACGGTGAAAGGAACCAATTAAGCGGCGGTCTTTGTTGTTCGTCTAATGTCAACTTCATTATAACCCGGCGTGTATGACGTAGTAATTCCATTAGAACATGTTGTTGATTGACCACGTTTCATCTCAGAGATGGGGACACCGCACTAAACTGATTATCCTTTACAGTTTACTATTTGCCCTTTAATTACGATATTGCAGATTTCTGCATTAGCGACGGGTACGCAGAAGAGGAAGGGTACAAGGGAAGCCGGTATAAATAACTAAGTGGTGTTTATAAGTTAATTTAGCCATTTGGATTGTTGTGTCATATAAAGCGAGCAAATTCAATTAGGAGCAATCAACGGTGCAACTGAACCGAAACGAGTGACTCTTCACAGGCAAAGCAAAGAGGTGGTCTGCGAGATCAGAGGCCAATTAAAATGATGCGGGACTAGAAGAAAACAAAAGAAAGTCAAGGCTTGTGTTGGGTGTAGCTCTTTTGTTGTTGGCACTGAGGCACGGAATCGAAGAAAACTTTGCCGAGAGAGAGGTTTTTAATTCTTTATGAGACTTCCGGGCCGTCAGATGCTACATGAAAGGAACGTTATTTTTTAAATGATATGTGGAAACTCCGCACGCAGCTTTTTTAGTGTTGCATCTTATACACAGTCGCATTAAAATACATCAAGAAATGCATTTCTTATCAACCTTCGACAAATACTTAATATATGGAAAGTGCATGTGTGTTTACTACAAATGGACTCATCATTGCAGCTTCGCCTAACAGGTATTTTAACACTAAGAATACTCAAGTCGACGTTTGAAAAGAAAATGCATAAAATATATGCTGTTCTTAAACGCAATAATGTATTTGAAGCACAAAAGAGTTACCGGAATGGGAAGGTTAAGAATAAGCTCTCTGAACCTGTTAAGTTCGATCTATCAGCACGTTTCGTCGGCTTCAATTTTTATTCAGAATATCAAAAATTTGTATTTGGCCATTAACCACGCTTTATATACAACGAGGGCAAAGTATCAGACGTTCAAATAAAAGCCTCCTCGTAGAGGCTCAAGATGCGGAAACGAGTTATTACGAAAACAAAAAAAATGAAACACACGTTTAAGACGTGACCTAAATCCAAAAGTTCCTAGACAGATTTGGTTTTGTTAGTTGCGATAACCTTATAACCACACTGTAAAAAAGGATATTTATGTATTGCATAACAGAATATATACAGGGTGACATGAATATATGCAAAAACCCTACTAATATATTATCTGAACAGAAATAACAGAAAAAGTCTTCGGTTAATAAAATAATATCGCACCTTGAAGATAGGAAGCAGTTTTTTCAACTACGATAAATTTATGGTTTAAAGTTAGCCACACACAAATTCATTCAAACAAAAGTTTTTATACATAGGCATATTACGTCATGTCGGTGCATTTACGGCCGCCTTAAGTAACAATATTAAAATTTGGTATGGATAATTAAGTAATTAACATTTGATATTGCATACTTTATAAGGCTTCCGTACAATTTCGTCAAGAGAAACTTGCATATTTTACAACCTTTTCTACGTGCAATGGCAAGAAAAGTATTGTAACAGGTTATTTAGTTAAATTGATTACCAACGTTTCATAGCTTCTAGAACATGGAATAATAGGTCTGCAGTTTTCGTCTGTCTGACGTCTGTTGTACGACGTACTGTACTGATATGAAATTTTAGATGTGTTTTTAGTTTTCTTATTCATCCGCACCATGTTTTCTCGAGATTTTATGACCCCTAGAAAAATAGGTCTCCCTTTCCGTCTGTTGTTCGTCACCTGTTGATTATTGTAAAATACCATGTGTATTTTATGAAATCGTGCAAACTGTAAAATGGTAACCAAGGTTTCACTAATCATCAACACCAATAGGAGACTCCTAGACTTGCGTTTAAAGAATCTGTGTTGAGGTTTTATCCTAGATTTTTGAAAAAAAAAATCAAAATTGTATGACATTTTCCAATTTAACTTTGAAACCAAAAAAGCGAATGCTCTGAAATCTTCAAAACGTTTTCACGTAAAATCGTTAATCGAAATTTGCCGGTTTACCCTCTCCCAAGAAATTAATGACGTCATCTGATAATTTTATAAATCCTATCTAAAATATAGATAGAATTATTTATACAAGTGACCCAAAAAGATTAATGAATCTAGTTAATCAAATCATGAACGGCCCACCCCATTCTCCTGAAAATTTGAGTATATTGTACTGTTATTATTGGTATTACACTGCACGTGCAAGTGTCCGTGCTAAAATGTTGATGACGTCATTATAAAATTTTGTCACGAGAAAACTCATCTGAAACATACCCATAGCATGCTTCTTTTTCTGGATTTCAACAGTCCACACCTATATTTTTTTATCTAAAAATTTAAGTTTATAATTTTTCGAAAAATCTGTTCAGGGGCGAGGGAAGTTCTTTCTAAATGACTTTAGACAAATTTTTTACTTTATGCTTGCAAGTTTTTAGAAAAAAAAATCATAATTGTACTGCAAAACTATAAATTTAAGTTTATCGTGAACAAGAAAATAAAAAAATCCTGTGTTCATCCAAGGGATAATTTTCAAATGTATTAAATAGACCTTGCGTAAAATTTATATTGTAATATGTTGCTTTTTCCAATTCATTACATTTTTAACAATACACTTAAACGAATTATCAAAAAAGAATGGTAGAAGAGGTTATTTCGACAGCAGTAACATACCTACTGTGTATAAGCACCTTTAAAATATAAAAATTGGTCTAAGATTGTTTAGATACTTAGAAATTAGATTTTGAGAATTTTATTTATTTTATGATAACCTCTGTAACACAATAAAGGTGGAATCATAAATCACAAGTACAGGAGTATGTTATTTTATAAAATTTGCATTTACCCACAGTCCAACAAATCTTGTTTCTTTGAAAAATTATAGGTAGTTAAATTTAGTTTTGTGATTTTTGTTTTGTAATGTCAAGTAAAAAACAGTGAGGTAAAGAACACATAAGTGCGGATCTTATGAAACAGGAGTATATCTCAAGCAGATAACCAACTTCAAAAATTTCTTTAAGTACGTACAGAAGACCAGCATCAGTGGAGACAGATCAAAGTATGCATTTGCGTCAAAAGAAAATAAAATTCGATTGCTTTTGTCTGCTCAAAACAGAGGAAAAGATTAATCAATTAATCAATTATCTAATAATAAAGCAAAACGGTTCGATTATTACTTTCAGTGTTATCTGTTTTTAAGATTATTATTGAATATAAGCGGGTGGAATATTAGTATATTTTTATATTTTAGAGCAAATGGAGTGAAGCATTCTTGCTCGTGCATGGAGCTCGAATCCTTTCATTTTCAAAGCTGGCGATGACAACAGGCAGACAGACAAACGGACAGACGGAAACGGGAAACCTACTTTTTCGTAATCTGGGGTCATGAAACTTCGGGAAAACATGAAAGTAGCCCTGTGGACCCTATTTTTCAAAAATCTATGGCTTCCTTTGATAATGTTTTTATTGCCCTCTCGGTATAAATACATGTTATATTTTATGCCATAAAAATATTGTTACGAAAGAAACCCATACGTGGCCCCGGTACGACGCCTATGGTTTCTAGTATGTACGGCGATAATGACTCATCGTCGATGACGCCGGGAAAGCGGCGTTCGCTAAAGAAAAGCCTGGCAGCGGCAGTCGCGATGGGCAATCCAGAAAGACCTCGACTGCGGAACGATTGTTATTGAGTCAGTTCAGTCAAGACAAAGACCTGCCAAGTTGCGCCGGAATTATTCTGTACATAATCGCTGTGTAATCAGTCGTGTAAATTGCAGTTAAGAAGAAATAAATTGTTGAGTTTTACCCACGCCGATTTTAATCACCAATCAACGTAACAATGTCTTGTTGAATACATACAGTATAATATGAAATCTGTTTTTTATTCTATAGTCATCTTTAAAATGCGATACTTTTTTTATTGAACTGAAATGGACTTGTTCTGTTATTTTTGCTCTGAAAATTTGCTGGTAGATTTCAAGTACGCAATGTACGAGAGTAGATTTAACTACTATTGGGTTCGAATTTATTAACCTAAATTGAGAAAATCGC